TGGCGACATGCAACTGTAAACTGATTAATATGCTGTGACGTTGCACATCCAGACCCTTAATCGTCACCAGCCACACATGTCGCCAGTGGGACGTAGAAGTAGATGGTTCTGCTAGCACTCCCACGAGTACCAGCCCCGCTGGGTGGGCGCCACCACTTGTCTGCCTCTGTGTCTCCACCGTGTCTGCATTTGGGGAGGGAGTTGAGGTTACACATGTGTACACTTTTTTTCAGCTGCATTTACCTGCTATTTTTGTGACCCCTTCATGACAAATAATCAAGCATGCATTTCCCTCCATTGTGTACAAGTGGATCACTTTTGTCAAAACACTATAGAATGAAGTAAAGGAAAATTGCTTGCAATGTGCTAATATCCCTTAAATAAGTGACTTAACACTATTAGCATCTTAAATTCTAACATTATAAACTCAGACTTTGTATTTCTTCAGCCTAATGCAATTGCTTTTGCTTAAAAACCAAGTGTGATCTGCAGATGTAGATACTTGATAATCTTAGATTTTTCTCACAATTATCAATGTTAGCCAGAATGGGAAACCAAGGCAGTAATCTGGCCAGTCTTTTCTTCTTTTTTTTTTTTTAAGATTTATTTATTTATTTGAAATGTAGAGTTAGAGAGAGAGAGAAAAGAGGAAAGACAAGGAGAGATCGTCTATCCGTGGATTCACTCCCCAGATGGCCTAAGGCAGGAGATAGGAACTGGTCTTCCAAGTGGGTGGGCAGGATTCCAAGCATGTGGGCCTCTTTAATAGCCTGATGTTCATTAGAATCAATTGTAATCTAAAAATTAAATGACACCATTGAAAATTATTTCCTTTGACTGAAGTCGTTTTGTTTTATTTAGAGTTATTGGAGGTGATGTAGACAGTTTCTGCTCTTTCTGATCACTATGCAAATGCCAGGGTTAGAAGTAAGCGATTTAGTGCCAGGTGCTTGTCATTACACCAGGACACGGCCCGGAGAGCACACTGGCCTAGGGACGGGCCACCTAGCCGTGCTCATGGCTCTGGCACCAGTAGCTGTATGAAAGTATATTCTGTACATTGCTTTATCTCCAGCACCCAGTAAGTGATGCTTGAATACCTGAGTGAATGGGACTAGATTACAACCCATCTCTCTTGCAGTTTAAACTCTTGAATTAATGGCTTCTAAAATACTCTTCATTTGCGGAGATACTTCAAATATGCTTATTATTGGCTAAATACAATGAAGAAATGTGTTTAGACCCTGTTCACATGCAACATACAACATATTCAGTTATATTCATTTAGATGAATCTTAACACCAAAAAGGACATTACTTCAAAGGACAAAACCAACAAGCATAACTTTAGAGTATATAAACATGCGTATTTGAGTAAGATTCCCGTGAGCTTTGTAAGCACGCTACCGTGCGTGTGTGCAGCACACACCAGAGTGGAGCAGGTCTTCATGTGGCAGGAAAGCCAGGGAAGTCTTGCTGTGTAAGCTTGTGGAGGGAAGGACTGGTGATGGACTCTGAGAGACAGGAACCTGGTGTCGCTTGGGAGCGTCCCGACACACAAAGTACAAGAAAGCAGATTTATGTGGCATGACAAAGGGTTCAGTAGAAGGAGAAAAATGAGAAGAATAGTTTAGGGTCTGGCATTGTAACCTAGTAGCTAAAGCCCTCACCTTGCATTCGCTGGGATTCCACATGGGCACTGATTCAGGTCCTGGCTGCCCCACTTCCCATCCAGCTCCGTTCTTGTGACCTGGGGAAGCAGTAGAGGATGACCCAAAGCCTTGGGACCCTGCACCTGTGTGGGAGACTCAGAAGAAGCTCCTGGCCCCTAGCTTCAGATTGGCTCAGCTCTAGCTGTTGCAGCTGCTTGGGGAGTGAAGCAGCGGACGGAAGATCTTCCTCTCTGTATATCCGACTTTCCAATAAAAATAAATAAGTCTTAAATAATAATAATTTAGAATGATTACACTGGCTGCTTTTGAACCTGAGAATATAAATCAAACTTAAGTTCCTTACCCTTCAGTCTTTAGAAGAAAAACAGATTTCTTGGCAAAAAGCAGCTCTTCAAATATTTAGTTCAACAAAAGCTTTTCAATTTTTGAATTCTGTTTGTACTTAAGCTTCTGTTCGTGGCGTGTCTCTAATGTTTTACCTTCCTGTCTGTAGCAATGTTGAGAATGACAGAAGACCACGTGCTTCCCGAGCTGAATAAGGTGGTGAGTAGAGCTCGAAGGGCATCCTCAGGCTGTGGTTGTTGTCCTGGCGGAGCCCAGCTTTACAGGCCACCTCACTGCCCCTCTGCAGACTGTCGGGCTATGCACAGGGACCCCCCATTTACGTAAGACTTTGAAATCTAATTGTTGTGGGGGGTTTTGGGGGTTTTTTGTTTTGTTTGTTTGTTTTTTGGAACTTACTTAAATCTTAAGTGCATTCCATCTTGTTGGAAATCAAGTACTTAGATATTAGTACCTATGTGGACCTCAGGTGAGCCATTTCCTTCTGTGGAGATTGTGACAGGTAGCAGTGGAGTCTCAAAGGGAGACCTTTGTGACTAGGGCAGAACGCTTCACATTCCATAGCTTCTCTTCCTCACCCCCGCCTAAAGGTGTTGATTTGGACAAAGCAGGTGAATTTTGAATTGCCAAAATGGACAGTGGAAGCAGGGACGGTGAAGCACACAGGCCCTGTCCCTGCAGCTCTTCATGAAGGCTTAGATTACTTCCCCGAGGCTCCCCTGGCAGGGGAGGGAGTCCCGCAGTACTCAGATCCCTGCCTGCAAGGTGGATTTGAAGTGCTTAGCTATTCTCTCAGGATCCCCGGATTTCCTGCCTTCAAGGTTACCTTACATCAGTCCTTCTCTGAAAGAACATCACGCCTGCTTTCCCAAGGTTTTCAGTGCTTGCTCAAAAAAAAACCTTGTGTATTATTACATCATGTCTCTTTGGAAACTTGCTTTTAATTTTTTGTTTTTCGTTTTTTTTTTTTTTGGTAGATGACTCAGAAAGATATTACCTTTGTTGCTGAATTTCTAACAGAACATTTCAATGAGGTAAGAAATAGAGCTTAAAAAAATAACTACAATAAACCTGGGAAATGGTAAGAAGTAATTATTCTAATTTAATTGAAGTCTTTAACATCCACTTTTTCAAATTATTTAGTGTAAGTACTAGTTTTTATATGTAAAGTTTGAAAAGAGTGTCACTAACAATTTATACGATGAATTTTTTTGTTTAAGTTTTTTTCTTTTCTAAGTTGACTTAAGAGTTAAATCATGTTTATTCTTTCTAGGCTCCTGACCTTTATAATCGAAAAGGAAAATACTTCAATGTTGAAAAAGTTGGTCAGGTAAGGCCTACGTGAGCCATCATTGCTGTCCGCCAGTGCAGAGGCAGGAGCCGGAGCTGAGGCTCCAGCCCAGGCACTGAGATGTGGCTGACTGGTGTGCTCACCGGTGCCCTAAATGCTAGGCCAGATGTCAACCTCTACTCCTGGTTTTGAAGAGCTAATCCAAGTCTGCATCGTTTTTCAAACCTTACGGAAGCACTGTAATCCCAAGTTAAATAGTGACCCTCCGCTTAGAAATAGCCAGGCTCAGCACTGTGGCCTAGCACGGTAGCCCACCAGTTGTAACGCCAGTGGGTATTAAAGACTATCTTTGGCATTTCTGTTGCAAATGCCTGTGATTGCCACGTAGGGTCTCAAACCTGCAGTCATTCTCAAATGCATTGATTGTTTTTGTTAAATATGTCAAGAAAATACATGGGCATGTAGCTGGGAAAGAAGTATTACAATAACTTAGGTAATTGTGAATATTCTGATATTACACCAGGCCTTGACAAGCAATAGAATCTTAAAGACTAGTTTCACTGTAGAACCTACAATTGCACATGACCTTTTCATCCTTGGCACTTAAGATAGATCTCTTCTACCACCTTGCGTTGGTCACTTCTGAAGTCCCCCTTCCCTGCTTAGCAAATCTCTGCACACTTCCAGCATTTGTCGTATGACAGGTGAGAGTACGACCTTAGTGGCGCCACCGGCCCCATCAGTGACGTCAGAGCGCTGTGGAGTTCTAAACACACAGTGGCAGCTGCAGGTTTTCCACAGTTTCAGTTTCTGCTTTGAAGCTTGTAGTGTTGGCCATTTTTTTAGTTGCTTGGCATGTGTCACATTCTGTCTCCCGTGCTTGGAATAGCAGCAGAGTACTTTCAGAGGACTTGGCAGTAACACAGAATGCTTACTAAATAGAAAGAGATTACACAGAGTTTTGTGGGCCTAACTCTTCTGTTACTAAATTTAAATTTCTCCTTCTGTGTTTCTAGTACTTGAAAGATGAGGATGATGACCTTGTGTCACCCCCTAACACAGAAGGAAACCAGTGGTATGACTTTCTTCACAACAGCAGCCACCTTAAAGGTATTTCAAGATCCGGGCTCCTCGGCTGTGTCCATATTTATTTGAGACCAGGGTTTTAGTGGATTGGGTAATGGTTTGTTCAGTACTTGGCTGAATACTCATGTCAAGTTAATAGACTTATTATTTGTGTGTGTGTCCATTTCATTTGATTAGAGACGCGATCATGCTAGATGGAAAACATTCAAAATTGTGCTGACACCAAACTAAACAATTTTTTTAACCTCTTAATGCCAGGGAGTGACCTGCAATTCCATGATCTGCTGACAGCACCCATGCCCCACGTGAGGAAGGGCTCAGTTCCGTCAGATGGCTCTGTTCAAGCCTGACCTGGGGCAGTCAGTGTGGCCAGTGCTGCTTTATTGAAATGGGAGCTCTTGGCACACCTGTCAGGGAGTTCCAGGGGTTTTAGTTCTGTTTCAGGAACTGGGAACTAAGATGGGATGTTTCCGTGACCCCACAGCATCTGTTGCCTCTTGGAAACTTAAAATGTTACCATAATGGCAATTTACTCTATCCAGCATGGCTGGAACCAGAGCTCTTCTGGCAGCCCAGCCCTATGGAACAAGGTACTCATCAGTCAGACTGAGGGTTGAGTCCTAGATTGGGTACTTAGTCATCTGCACTCGGAGCAGCTGTTCACATCTACTAAGACACAGCAGTTTTCATCCTTAGGTTGGACAGTGTGCTGTTTGGGCATGCAGCTGTGGTAAGCAACAGGAATGACATGTAAAAAAACCTCGCAGAGCAGAAGTCAGTAAATGCTAAATTGCAGATTACTTTCTACTGACAAACACTTTGAAAAGGCTACTTATTTGAGAGGCAGAAAGGGGACCAACACTGTGGTGTGGTGGGTTAAGCTGCCACTAGGCAATGCCCTCCATCCCTTATTGCTGTGCCAGTTGAGTCTATTGCTCTGCTTCCAATTCAGCTTCCTGCTAAGGGAAAGCAGCAGATGATGGCCCTATTTCTTAGGGTTCTGCCACCAATGTGGGAGACCCAGAAGGAGTTTGTGGCACCAGGCTTTGCCTGGCCCTGACGGCTGTTGCAATCACTGCGGCATGAGCCAACAGAGCGCAGATGTCTGCATCTTTCCCTCACTCTCTGAGGCTCTGCCCTTCGGGTAGATAGATAAAATAGAAGTATTTCTTTAAAAGAGAGACAGAGATCTTCCAAGTGTGTTCACTCATGTTCCCACACCAGGTAAGACTGGGCAGAGAAAGCTAAGAAGCCAGAGCCGGGGCTTCCTTGTGGGTGTCCAGGGCCGAAATCCTGAGCGAGCACAAGTTTCCCCAGGTCAGCATTGGGGATACTGGGATTGGATCACAGCCAGAACTTGCACTGTGTCCCAAGTGGCAGCTTAATTACTGCACCAAGTGTGTGCCTCTGATCAAGTGGACTGTTGGACAGTAGGAGGTGAGCACACAGGATCTGTTGGACAGTAGGAGGTGTGTACACAGGATCTGTTAGACAGTAGGAGGTGAGTACACAGGATCTGTTGGACAGTAGGAGGTGAGTACACAGGATCTGTTAGACAGTAGGAGGTGTGTACACAGGATCTGTTGGACAGTAGGAGGTGAGTACACAGGATCTGTTAGACAGTAGGAGGTGTGTACACAGGATCTGTTAGACAGTAGGAGGTGAGTACACAGGATCTGTTAGACAGTAGGAGGTGTGTACACAGGATCTGTAGACAGTAGGAGGTGTGTACACAGGATCTGTTAGACAATAGGAGGTATGCACACAGAATCTGTTAGACAGTAGGAGGTGAGTACACAGGATCTGTTGGACAGTAGGAGGTATGCACACAGAATCAGTTAGACAGTAGGAGGTGAGTACACAGGATCTGTTGGACAGTAGGAGGTGAGTACACAGGATCTGTTAGACAGTAGGAGGTGAGTACACAGGATCTGTTAGACAGTAGGAGGTGAGTACACAGGATCTGTTAGACAGTAGGAGGTGTGTACACAGGATCTGTTAGACAGTAGGAGGTGAGTACACAGGATCTGTTAGACAGTGGGAGGTGAGTACACAGGATCTGTTGGACGGTAGGAGGTGTGTACACAGGATCTGTTAGACAGTGGGAGGTATGTACACAGTATCTGTTAGGCAGGAGGTGAGTACACAGGATCTGTTAGACAGTGGGAGGTGAGTACACAGGATCTGTTGGACAGTAGGAGGTGAGTACACAGGATCTGTTGGACAGTGGGAGGTGAGTACACAGGATCTGTTGGACAGTAGGAGGTGTGTACACAGGATCTGTTAGACAGTAGGAGGTGAGTACACAGGATCTGTTAGACAGTAGGAGGTATGTACACAGGATCTGTTAGACAAGAGGAGGTATGCACACAGGATCTGTTAGTAGGAGGTGTGTACACAGGATCTGTTAGACAGTAGGAGGTGAGTACACAGGATCTGTTAGACAGTAGGAGGTGTGTACACAGGATCTGTTAGACAGTAGGAGGTGAGTACACAGGATCTGTTAGACAGTAGGAGGTGTGTGCACAGGATCTGTTGGACAGTAGGAGGTGAGTACATAGGATCTGTAGACAGTAGGAGGTGTGTACACAGGATCTGTTAGACAGTAGGAGGTATGTACACAGGATCTGTTAGACAGTGGGAGATGCACACAGGATCTGTTAGACAGTAGGGGGTATGCACACAGGATCTGTTAGACAGTAGGAGGTGTGTACACAGGATCTGTTAGACAGTAGGAGGTGAGTACACAGGATCTGTTGGACAGTAGGAGGTGTGTACACAGGATCTGTTAGACAGTAGGAGGTGTGTACACAGGATCTGTTAGACAGTAGGAGGTGTGTACACAGGATCTGTTACACAGTAGGAGGTGTGTACACAGGATCTGTTGGACAGTAGGAGGTGAGTACACAGGATCTGTTAGACAGTAGGAGGTGTGTACACAGGATCTGTTAGACAGTGGGAGATGCACACAGGATCTGTTAGACAGTAGGAGGTGTGTACACAGGATCTGTTAGACAGTAGGAGGTGAGTACCCAGGATCTGTTAGACAGTAGGAGGTATACACACTGGATTGTAAACCCATAGGTTGGCTTCAGCCAATGGTTGTTGTTCTTCATCAATTCCTATAACTTTTTTATCCTTTTTCTTTTGTTTGAAACCAGACAGTCCTTTGCTGTTTCCTTATTACCCTCGAAAATCATTGCATTTTGTGAAAAGGCGGATGGAGAAGATTATTGACCAGTGTTTGCAAAAGCCTGCTGTAAGTTTGAAAGAAATGCATGTCTGTTTAGGAGCAGAAATATCTTTAATATGTGGCTTGTTTATGTAAGTGATCGTGATGATTAGGGTAAACTGTAAATCCTGATATTCACCTCTGACAAAAATGGTTCTAGTCTCAGTTTCAAAGCTGATGTGTCCCGACGACTCCTTGTGAAGTAGCGGATGTGAGATTAGAGGAAAATGGCCTTTAGCCCGCATGTACTTAACTCCGTGCGCTTTTTCAGCTCGGAACATTCTCTTTCCTTCCGGTCAGAACTGGCTGAGTGTCCTGAATGCAGGGTGTGGTGATGAAGACCGGGTTGTACTGAGCTTGATTCGGGACGGTCAGTCACTTTCCCAGAGGATACCTGCTAGTAAATGCTCTAATTATGTTTTTAAATCTGTTTCATGCAGGATGTAATTGGGAAATCAATGAATCAAGCAATCTGTATCCCATTATATAGAGATGCCAGAAGGTAATTCTCTGTACCCTTTGGGTGGTGTAATTCAGCAGCCAATTTAAATTCTTCTCACTTTTTCCCTTTTTGTTTTAGTGAGAATTTGACACGCAGATTGCTCAAATTTCCTTTTCTGTGAGTATGCTTCTTGCCTATTTTATATGAACAACACAATTTTGGTCAGGTATGAAAAACACCTAAATACCATATTATAATGTTAAAACTTTTTCCCTTAGGTGGAATAATAAAACTTCAAATCTACATTATCTTCTTTTTACGATTTTAGAAGATTCAGTTTATAAAATGTGCATTTTAAGGAGACATACTGATATTTCCCAGTAAGTATTATTCTGAAGTTTGAATCAGATAAGATTGTGTTATTTTTGGTAATAAGAGCTTCTTTCCCCGCATTTCAGATTCTAGTTAGAAGCCTCCTGGTGACTTTCCGATGGGGTAGCTGTGTGATTGGCTCCCGTTCTAGATCACTTCCATTTTACTACTTTTCCTGTTGGTGTAGCCATTGTATGTAGGATTTCTTTTTTCTTTTTCTTTTTTTTTTTTTTAAGGATTAGAGAACCCAAGTGTCTGTTATATCTCATGAACTCTTTTGTAAAGATTTATTTACTTGAAACACAGATTCACAGAGAAAGATAGAAAGTCGGAGAGAGGTCTCCTATCCACTGGGTCATCCCTCAAATGGCTGCAGTGGCTGGGGCGTTGGTGGCGGAGGCCCAGGTGCTTCGGCTGTCTCGCACTGCTTCTGCAAGGCCTTTATCAGTGAGCTGGATCAGGAGCAGAGTAGCCAGGACACACGGCCCCCACAGGCGGTGCCAGCATCCATGTGGTGGCTTCCTGGTCACACAACACTGGCTGCCAAGATCATTTATTAAAAAGGTAGAATGACAGAAGGAGAAAGAAGAAAAGAAGTGAGGGGAGGTTTGAGGAGAAAGAGGGACCTTCCATCCGCTAGTTCACACCCCAGAGGACTACAACAACCTGGACTAGGTTGACCAAAGCCAGGAGCCAGGAACTCCCTCCTGGTCGCCTGCGTGAGTGGCTGGGAATCAAGGAGACTTGGGTCATCTGCTGCTGTCCCAGGCGTATTAGCAGGCAACTGGATTGGAAGAACATAACCCTCTGAGCCACAGCACTAGGCCCAGCTCTAAGACTTTAAACCAGGTTGGTTTACCTAGCTAAGGGGATGAGCCATGTACAGTGTTACAGTAGTTGTCTGTATTTTAAAGGGAGTGCTAGTAGTTTATTCTGGGATCTGATGCTTAGGTCAGTGCACCGACACTGACACATTCTTTTAAGCAGTTAGTCTTGGCTCTCCAGGTTATTCCACAAAGTCTCTTTTTGTCCCCTTGTTTCTTCAAGATCTGTAAATAATGGATTAATCGCTGTTAAATTTGGGAGCTTCACATATGCCACAACTGAAAAAATCAGGAAAAGGTAAGTGTTTGAATGAAACGGATAGCCACAAGTGACAGAACTGTCACACGCCCGGCGAGTGCAGTGGAGGACTGTGGCCATGCTCACTGGTGATGCCATGGCAACGGACTTCGCCCTTCCCGACAGAGGCAGCGGGGCTCTGCCCGTGCCTTCCAAGTCCAGAATGATTGTTCCTTTAACTGAGGAACGCTGTCCTGCCCTGGAAGAATGAGTGTTGCATGGTCTCTTGTAAAGAATACTCATACTTCTGAGCTTCCTGTCTGCTAATCAGTGTGATCGCAGGACCCAGAGGGCCTGCCTTCACGTTCTGTTACACCGGGGCACTGTGAAGGGGATCCCAGTCTCCTTTTTTTATTTACATAAATCTTTATTAGTCTTTGAAGTTGTTTCTTTTGTTCAAGTGTGAGATTTTATTTATGATTATAGTATAAGCTAATGCTATGCTCAAGTGTTTTGTATGGAATGCAGCTTAATATTTTAAGTTATTTTTTCTGTTGACTGGCAGGGTAATGTTAACGCATACATTTTCTCAGCAATCATGATTATCTTTTGACATCAAAATTTTTGTCAATTCTAGCACCTACAGTTGTCTCGATGCCCAGTTTTATGATGATGAAACTGTAACAATAATTCTTAGAGACACAATGGGGCGTGAAGGAAGAGACAGACTCTTAGTCCAGTTGCCTCTGTCTTTAGTATACAAGAGCGAAGAATCCACTGAGTTCACTGGGAGTTACTCTACCAGGTAATAACTCATTTGTAAGATCATCTTTCTGATAGAGTTAAAATTTTTTCCAGGCACCATAGATACCAAAATTTTTGTTATTCAGTTGTTAGGCATAACTGTAGAATCAGTGGAGTTGAAGTGTTATTATTAATTTTTGCAGTTCTATGTATTAGACACACTCAGGGAGTGTGACTCACCCCCAGAGACCTATGGTGGCAGAAAACAAGGCCTGGCAGGGCAGAGCCTGGACAGCAGCCTGTTGCCCGCCTCTTGGGGTCTGTATAGCAAGAAGTTGGAGCTAGGGGTGGAGCCAGCTGTGCCCCCCAGGGCCTGCTGTGGGAGGTGTTCACTGCTAGGCCGAATACCTGCCCCAGCGCTGGCTGTAAGAGTTTCCATGTTCCTCTGTTGTATTTGCTGAGGGGTCACCCGTTGTGGCATGGTGAGATAAGCCAGCACTTGGAACATGGTCATGTCAGATCTAAAAAGTGTTCACCGGAACAGGGTGTGGAATGATTTGGAGAGAACAGTGGAACTTTAACGTCTCCTTGAGGATGGTGTCCACACTAGTTTGAAGCGGAGTTAATTATTTTTCCTTCTGAAATTAGGATTTTGGTTCCCGTATGGAGAGTGCATAATCAGTTCTAAGCAATAGCTTTAAGTGACCGAGATATCTTGGATCCCAGATCCTTTACCTGATGTGAAAATGTAGCCATTTGCTTTCCTTGAAAGGGAAGCAAACTTCCTTGCGGAGGTGATCCTCTGCCCAGCTTTGGAATTTGCAGTATTTTATTGACTATGCTATCATGCCTATTTTTACGCAGTGACCGTCAGGGTTATGTTGGGAGTGGGCTGATGGGGAGCAGTGGAGCTCAGGAGTGACCCTGCTACCACCCCGCTGACCTGCCTTGGCGTTTTCCCTGCAGGCTGGATGAGCAGTACAGTATTATCCCAGCACGCACAGTGCATTTTGAGAAGCACTGGAGATTACTGGAAAGTATGAAAGCACAGTATGTTGCTGGAAATGGTTTTCGGAAAGTGTCCTGTGTGGTGAGTATTTGCAGGGAGTTCACTGAGAGTAGCAGCAGTAGAGGCCATTGCTTCTGGCATGGACAACTCTTCTGGTCCAGGCCTGTGATTCACAGCATTTATTGATTTGGGGGTGTGCAGTGACCTTGGCTGTTGAATTCTGTCATTCTGAAAAAGCTTACAGAGCTTGTTCAGAGAGTTACTGAATCTGGATTTGTAATCATGGGTTCCTGCCACACATGTGGGAGACTCGGCCTGAGTTCTAGGCTCCTGGTCCAGCCCAGGTGTTCTACCATGAATCAGCCAGGCCTTGTGCGTTCTCAGTGACTAAATCCTTGCCTTGAAGCACCGGGATCCTGGATTGTGTTCAGGCAGCTCCACTTCCCATCCAGCTCCTTGCTGGTGGCCTGGGAAAGCAGTCGGGGATAGCCCAAAGCCTTGGGACCCTGCACCCATGTGGGAGACCTGGAGGTGGCTTCTGGTTCTTGACTTCAGATTGGCTCAGCTCTGGCTATTGCAGCCACTTGGAGAATGAATCAGCAGACGGAAGATCTTACTCTCTGTCTCCTCTCTTTAAATTCTGCCTTTCTGATAAAAATAATTTCTTAACATTTATTTGAAAGTCAGAACAACAGAAACAGAGGTCTTTATCTGCTGATTCACTCACAGAATGATACAACAGGTATGGCTGGACCAAGCTGTAGTCTGAAACCTAGATTTCATTCTAATCCCCCACAGAGCTTCAGGGGCCTGAGCCCTTGAGCCATCTTCCACTGCTTTCCCCGGTGCATTATCAGGGGGCTGGATGCAAAGTGGAGC